TTCAGAAACTTTGGACATTTGATAACATCGATTGGGACACTCCTATTCACTCAGACAGTGATATCCACATTATGTTGGAAGCTGTGAAGGAAGACCTAAAGGACGTTAACACTATCAAGATAGAACGTTGCCTTATCCCAGAGAAGTTTCGCGGTAAATCACCATTGCCTAATGTTTCACTCCATGGAGCCAGTGACGCCTCTGATGACGCCATGGGAATGGGAATATGGCTGAGATGCGTCGCGAAGCAGAAGACGAACGATGCCAGAACTGACGTTTCTCTGCCGCTCGAGCACGTACTAACTCCGTTGAAACAGCTAAGCATACCTCTATAGAGCTCAAGCCATTTCTACTCTTATCTCGAATTGATGACCACAGTGGAGAATGCACTACGACTGGAGATAGCCTATAGGAGGAATATGGACAGACAGCATGACTGCTATCAGCTGGCTAAGGCGGTTCAATCGAATCCTTTCGCTCATACGTTGCCCTGCCGCTGTTGGTGAGATAACTGCAGGACTTCGACCCAACGATGATATCTCATACGTGCCACTGACCAGAATACCATAGATCTCGTCTCACGCGGAGTTAACGCCACTGAAAGCAGAAAGTTATTGATGGACGACATTCCTGAAAAAACCACAGCTTATTGGCCGAGACTCCCAAGAATGTTCCAGTAGACAGGGAAGATACCGAGCCTGAAAAAGTTTCACGTCCGGAACGCCAAGGTTCTTACGCTACAGCTGTCCAAGGCTGACCCGTTGTGTGACACAAAGAAGTTCTCCAGCTGGTCTCGTCTAGTTAGGGTGACCGCACGTATTTTGTCGCTGAAAGATCTGCCCAAGAGCCAGTGGATGAAGGACTTACCACCAAGATTTCTCAATGGCGTCATGTAAGAGGATCAAGAAGCAGAATCTACTGGATTCGCCACGCCCAAAAGGAGATAGATTTTAGCGATAAACAGCATCATGAAACTACAAACCGTTTCTAGACGAGCAAGGGGTCTACAGAGTCGGAGGTCGCCTCCACAACGCCACCGTTTCATACGACACCCGTACCTTCTTCAAAGAAGAGCCGTATTGTCTACTCATAGTACAGGAGAGACACAGACACGCACTACAGGAGGGCATCTTAGAACGGCCGTGGAAGTTAGAAAGTCCTACTGGATAGTTGGTGACAATTTACCTGTGTAGACGAGTTTTCACGAATGTACGATCTGCAGACGATTACCGTGGGAAGCCGCTAAAACAACGAATGGCCTGACCTACCAGACTTCGAGTGATGCCCTTCACGCCTGCATTCAGTACAACGGTAGTAGATTACCTGGGCCCAGTCCTCGTCAAGTTGAATCGCAATACAGTTACAAAGGGATACTGTGCCGTCTTCGTTTGTGCTGTCCTTCGTGGCTGTTCACCTGACCTGCGTCAAGATTTGTCCACATCAGCGTTTCTTCAAGCCTTTGAACGTTTCGTTAGCATCCGTGGAGCACCTGCGCTGTCATCAGCGACAACGCAACTTGTTTTCCGTGGAGCTGATAATGAGATTCGTGAACTGCATTTACGCCTAGATCGAGCACAACTCCAATCGAGACCGTGAGATGAAGGTTTGAGTGGAAGTTTGGACCGCCGGGTGGACCCATCACCAAGGCTTGGTGGAAAGAAGTGTGCAGGAAGTGAAGAAGTCGATGGGACACATGGTTAAGCGCAGAGAAGCTGACGTTTGTAGATGGGAGACTGTCTTCTCCCAGATCTCCGGACTCCTGAACAGCCGACCTATCTCCGCAGTGTCTTCATCACCGTTAGACGAGCCGCCTATCACCCCCAATCACTTCCTGATTGGGAGGGGTAGTCTCCGAGCCACAAGTACCTTGCGGAGGAGTATGTGGGAAACACCCAGAAACGTCGTGAACTATGCAATACGATGTCGATGGTTTCTTCGGCGACGTGGATGACGAGCATCCATAAGCTATCTCCACGCCAAAATGGAGTAAAGCTGAAGACAACCTGACCGAAGGAGACATCGTTCTAGTCGTCGATGACAAAGTAAAACGTGGACATGGAAATATGGCTGAGATCGTCCAAGTCTACGTCGGTGACAACGATTTTGTCCGAGTTGTTGACGTGAAATACGCGGATGGAACCGTCTTCAAACGACCGATAACGAAACTTATCCTCTTGATGAAGAAGTCCGAGAGACTCGACGTTTAGGATTTGAATGGCAAGAGTGCCAATAGACTATTGGACTGTTTTGTGTGTGTATTGAGTATCATTCACCTCAGGACTGTGTATGTTGTGTTGGTTCATGTTATGGACTTTTAGTGTTTCTTATGGACTGTTGTTCATTTACGTTTTGAAACAAGGACACTTACTTGTGTTAAGGACTGTTGTTTCGTTTGCGCTTGCACCAGGGACTTGTGATCATCGCGTACATAAGGACTAAACATTCGTTGTTCGGAAAGGACTACCGGTGATTCATTATTCGTAAAAGATTATCATTTTAGCTCGAGTAATTTGGCTCAGAGGACTGTTTGAACTTTGTCTTTGGACAATCAGGACAATCGCGCTCACTCATTGTTCGACAATCGCGCATACTCGTTACTCGCGTTCTAATCTAAGCTGTGAGAATGTTATCGCGTTTTGTAAAAGTTACTAAGTTGTCACGTGGATTGAGATACTATAGTCTGCGCTTTCGACATCCCTGTCGAATGATGTCCCCCGGGATGTTGCGGCATTTCACGGGTGTACGCATTTTATTTTCGGTATCGCCCGCTAGGGGCGCTTATGTTTGGGTAAACAGTGCAAATGGCGGCGTGTTCGTGGCAATGTGAATCTTCCACGATTGAATAATATATATATCAGACTGTTTCACGAGTACACACGTCTTCATTATTCAATGTGTTTAAAATTATTAAAGGTAAGCACCGTCACACATTCCTTGGGTACTCACATCATTTATTGGCTAATAAGGCCGACCAAAAAATTACCTTTGGTTCGGGTCACCGCCCGCCTCTTCACATTTCGGAGTGAAAAATGTGCGACTGCGGTCACTTTTAGAGGGTTTAAAAAAAAAAATTCAAAGATACCGCTGGCGATCATACATATCAAATATCCGACTCTTGTCATTTTACTTACCTAAAGAGAGTTCCAAATATTTTTTATGATGAAAAAGATGCAAGAAAACGTGAATCGTAAAACGCAGTTTCATGCATGTTTAGAATACCGTCTAGGATGTAGAAGTAGAGGATATCTTTTGAGCTACGCGATTGGCTGGAGCTCACTTTATCGTCCTTTGAACGAGCGAGTAACCGAAGTGTACTCGATTCGATCGATCGCGTACATCAAAGCCGGCCGCCGCGCCATACGACCTTCAGGCTTCAGCTCAGAGAGGGGGTGTTTACAAATACTAAACTTAATAAACAGGATAATAGGGTCCTTCTGTTCTCTCTCCCTCTCCTTTTCCCTCTTTCTCTCCCTCCTTTCTAACACACACACACACACACTCTCTCTCTCTCTCTCTCTCTCTCTCTCTCTTCTCTCTCTCTTTCTCTTTCTCTTCGCTTTCTCTCTCTCTCTCTCTCTCTCTCTCTCTCTCTCTCTCTCTCTCTCTTTCTCTTTCTCTTCTCTTTTCTCTTTCTCTCTCTCTCTCTCTCCCCTTTCTCAATCTCTTCTTTTTTTTTTAATGTTTGTTTGGGACAAAGGCAGGGGGGGTTTAACACCCCAAAACACCATCTGAGGGGTGCTAATTTAAAAAAAATTATGGGGGAGAGCCCCCCAGACCTCCCCTTCGCGTGCTCCTAACACCCCCCTTTCGAAAATCCTGCGTACGCCACTGGTTTCAGCTAAAGCTGTGCGGCCGATCAACACGACTACTTGCCAAGGGACGCTATCCTGCGCCATGTACACAGCGTCGTCATCGTAGGCGTAGCCTCGCAGTTTAATATATATATGTGTAAAATGCCCGTTTCGGGCTCTCCTAGGCAAATTATTAATTATTTAATTTAATTATTTAACCCCCACTCATTTCTAGAATTTTTTTAATGTATCCCGAATAATGTGGTCATAATATACAATGTACGTATATGTAAGTTTACGCAACCCGGGTTGTCGTAACGCAGACTATTAGTGTGTATGCGCCGCCCCCTAATTCGCGCGCGCCTGCGAGTGCGTGCGTGCGGGCGTTAGTTAGTTCTCCTCGGCAAGTCTTGGGTAGTAGTAGGGATCTCATGATCTTAGACCCAAGTTCCTTATAATTACGATTATATGTGATCGCCTAGTGACCAGCGGTATAAGGAAGCCAGCTGCTGCACCAGCCAAGTCAAATAGCCTGATTAAAGTTCCATTACTGGCTGTTGAGATTGAGATCGCATAAAGAAGATAAAATTAATATTATTTGTGCTTGACAAAGCACGTACACCTATAACCGAAGTCCTTCACTAATTCAGGGCCGTAACTGGCCGGTAATAAGCGAAGGAGAAATGTAGGCACACGTGCGTGACTGTGCGCACGTGCGTGTACGCGCATGCTTGCCCGTATATGTACATTATGTCGTACATGCCCGTACGTGAATTCATACGTGCACGTACGGACGGGAGCGAACCCGCGCGAGCGTGCGCGCGTCTGTGCGTGCTTGCCTGCGTGTTTTCACATACACATGAGTAATGATATATCCAGTACGTTCTGGTTATTTTTACTTAAAATATAGTTTTTATTATAATTTGCATTATTTTATAATATTTACGTCATTTGGTCTCCGTTCCGGCGTTTTTACGTACCGAGTAAACTATGACCAACAAAAAAACAATATTTCGCTAGTTTGACACTATATTTTAATCACAGCCAAATAAAAATATCCGGAATACTTGCATGCACCAGTACTGCAGAGGCATGATAAAAAAACCCACATAATTGGAGTAAATTGTAATTCATTGTACAAAGAAAACATCGCATGTGTGTAGTTATAAAGCCTTCCGCTAGATGGGACTGCAATCGGTAAATAGAGTGTGGATAGTCGTGCAATTTTATTGTAATCAAACTTATCCCATTCATTATTATTGACATATTGTAAGCTCTTCAATGTAGAAAGCTCCGTACATGTAATTATTTTGTTTATAAGGGAACAACCTAGGATCCTCGTATATCACAGACAGGCTAACGATCCATAATGGAACACATAAAGACGGCGAAGGTATGTACACAGTGACAGTGCAGTACTACTAGTACTAGTACTACTACTACTACTAGTACTAGTACTACTACTACTAGTACTACTACTAGTAAGTAGTAGTACTAGTACTAGTAGTAGTACTACTAACTATAAAACTAAAAGTATAATAGTATAGGTGCGGGCGGACAGCCAGGAACTTTGCCGCATCCGGGAATTTCTTAACCTAGCAACCAGCTGTGCCGGTGAAAACAACAGCCTGTCTCCGTGAGCTTACACACGCAATACCCTAGATACAATAATGGGTTCAAGGATAGAGAACATGTATCCCAATAAAACCAATGTCATTTACATCAATATAAATATAATATAATATCAATATAATAGGTTAGGGTTAGGATTAGGGTTAGGCGTTAGGGTTAGGGTTAGGCACATTGGTTTATTGGGATACATGTTCTCTATCTTGGGCCCAATAATGTAACCAAACCCAAGAGGATAGGGTTACAAAGTCTCCCTATCCTTTTGTGCGGAGGAATGGCCGAGTGAATCACTCGGGCCGGTTTGCTGGTGCGTTTTCAGAGACTAGAACTTCCAAACTGGGTTTATTCTCAACACGAACCTTTCTCGCCTACCGGAACTTACTATGTATCGCAATACTCTGTATTAAACTAATATAACCTGTTACAAAAATTCGAAGTGACGAGCGGCGAATATACTGAGCGCCATTTCTGTTGACCTGTGACGTACGCATTCCCTATGCGGCATAGCGTTCGGCGAACTTCGTCATGACGTCACGACTGACAGCAGGCATCCCATGATACATTCGATCTTGGAGTCGAAGTTAGCCGAACGCTATGCGCATAGGGAATGCGTACGTAACAGGTCACACAGAAATGGGGCGCTCATATATTCGCCGCCTCGTCACTTCGAATTTTTAACAGGTTATATTAGTTTAATACAGAGTATTGCAATACATAGTAATTCCGGCGATAGCGGAGAAAGGTTCGTGTGATAAACCAGTTTGGAAGTTCTAGTCTCTGAAAACGCACCAGCAAACCGGCCGAGTGATTCACTCGCGGCATTCCTCCGCACAAAAGGATAGGGAGGCTTTGTAACCCTATCCTCTTGGGTTTGGGTACATTATTGTATCTAGCAATACCCATTTCCAAACCAAAAGCATACTAATTTCCTTGCATATATATGCCGAAAACTTGTGTAGTAGTAGGTTGTCACAATCATATATATTGCACAGATAAGAAAAGATATTTTTTTGTGCTGCCAAAATGACATAAGAGTCTAGAGAGGCGTGATAAGTCATAAGTGGCTGACTGCCACTTAAATGTAAATGAGTAAATGTAAATGGTACGCACGGAGTCCCGTCAAAATTCTCCACTATTTGTTCTGATCATTTCGTGACAGGTAACTACTATTTTATACTGCGTGTGTGTGTGTGTGGTGTGTGTGGTGTGCGTGCGTGCCGTGCGTGCGTTGGAGTGTGTCACTGTGTGTGCGAGTGCGTGTGTTTGCGTCTGTGTTGGTGGCGGGGCGCTGTGCGGGCGTGTGCGCGCGTGCGTTGTTTGTGTGTCCTTGTGTGTGCGTGTGCGTGTGTGTATGCCATGTTGCGTGTGAGTGAGTCACTGTGTGTGCGAGTGCGTGTGCGTGTTTGTGTGTCACTGTGTGTGGGTGTGCCTGTGCATGTGAGTGTGTCACTGTGTGTACGTGTGCGTGTGTGTGGCATGTGAGTGCGTGTGCATGTGCGTGCATGTGCGTGTGCGTGCGTGTTTGTGTGTTGCGTGGTGCGGGTGCATCGAGTGTGTCAGCTGTGTGGTGGTGTGAGTGTGCCGTGGCGTGTGCGCGCGTGCATGTTGTGTGTGTCCTTGTGTGTGTGCGTGTGCGTGTGAGTGTTTCACTGTGTGTGCGAGTGCGTGTGCGTGTGCATGGTGTGCGTGGCTGCGTGCGTGCGTGCGTGCGTGCATGTGCGTGCGGCGTGCATGTGCGTGCGTGCGGGTGTGCGTGTGCTGTGCGTGTGCGTGCGTGCGTGCGTCGCGTGCCTGCGTGCGTGCTGCGCGCGTGCGTGCGTGTGCGCGCGGCGTGCGTGTTTGTGTGTCATTGTGTATGTGCGAGTGCATGTGCATGTGCGTGTGAGTGTGTCACTGTGTGTGCGAGTGCGTGTGCGTGTGCGTGTGCATGTGCGTGTGAGTGTGTCACTGTGTGTGGCACGTCGTGTGCGTGTGCGTGTGAGTGTGTCACTGTGTGTGCGTGTGTGTGTGTGTGTGCGTGCACATGTGTAATCTTGGACTTTGTTTTTGTTTCACGAGACCTGGGGTAATTTTATTCAACTAATGCAAGCAAACAAATACAAATAGAATAGCTTAAAATATTTATCTTATGTATCATACATAAACTAGAAACGGGCAGTTGTCGCCAACTACATGTATCCCCCGTGATCTAGTATGAATGGAATATCTCTGTAAGGACGTAGACGGCAGGTAAAGTAAATAAGTCACAAAGACAAAGTTTGTTAGACAACTGGTCTGCCTCAAGATGTGCAAGTATATGGAATCTGTTACCCTAGAGAGATATTTTTCACTGTGAACAGTACCCCCCCCCCCTACCCCCCTCTTCGTTACCGATGAGTTTTTGTCGTTAATAATTGTCCGTAAGGACCTCTAGAGATGGCAGCAGGTACCGATCGCAAATTCCGCGAATGGCGACCTGGCGAAGGCAAAGGGTGTGAAAAATGTTGTTGTCGTTGAAATGTTGTTTTATTAACGGTGGTGTGACGGAAATATAGCGCTAGTGACATAGGCTTATCGTCTTCGCCACGTTCGAAACCTCCCGGTTAAGAGGTAAATGGGTAAATCCTCTTATGGCGGTTTTCGAGGAGATACGTGAATTTACGCGCGGCGCCTGCCGATTAACAGTAATGCCATAATCATTTCTCGTGTTTCGCTTGACTTATCCAGCATTTCTCAATAAACACACACACAGTTTCCATGTCATAAAATACTACTAAATACTGTAGACTATACGAGGGATACAAATAAGAGTACGCAGCAAAATGAGGGAGTGCGTTTTGTAACTATCGTGATTTGAACATCTGCGTTGATAGGATTAGGGGTTCATAATGACAGACCTTTTAATCGTAAAGACCTTAATAATTATAAGTATATAATAATCAATGATAATAATGAATAATTACACAACTTGTAGTAACGTCTGGATCATGCGTACATGACCAATCCCTTTCCGTCTGGGGTTTACAGTGTTCGCGCACGGCGCGGCAGAGGTCAAACCCATCTGGCCGATGGGTAATATGGTATATATATATATATATACAAATATATGCCTCCATACACCCATTGACAGTTCAGCGCCTATGTTCTGCGCCATTAGTTACGCATCTCCGCAAGAGCCCGGATGTGCGAGTAAACTCCGCAATATTGTTTATCTCGATGCGTTATCTGCCTTGCATACGCAGGTCGCTTCTGGGACTTACTCGCGCTTTCTGGGACGGAAACTGCTTCCGACCTTTGACCTTAGGCATCTTCTTCTCGGCATCTTAGGCATCTTGATCTCGGATCATCTTCAAATTTGGCATGAAGGTGCGTTATGGTAAAGCAAAGACGCCAATTGTTTTTGGTGTGGGAGGAGTCATCGTTGCCATGGTAACAACATTTTTGTGGAAATATTGTAGAACCTGTAACTTGTGCTGTTTTTACCGATTTCACTCGAATTTGGCACACAGGGCCGATATAACATGTCCTATATATATATATTTGATGACAATCATAAATTTAAATATAAATTTAAATACAAATTTTAATACAAATATTTTTATATTTTTTTATATTTTTTTGCAAATATTTTTTTTTCTTTTCTTTTTTTTAGAATTTTTAAATTTTAATTTTAATACAAACATTAATTTCATGACAATCGGGTAAAAAGTGCAGAAGTTACAGGTTCTAGAATATTTCGACAAAAAATGTTGTTACCATGGCAACGATGACTCCGCCCACACCAAAAACGATAGGTGTCTTCGCTTTACGATAACGCATCTTCATTCAAAATTTCAAGATGATCCGAGAAGAACTGCAGCCGGTAGAGCGCTCACAAGGAAATCTCTGCGGCGGGCGGCGGCGGCGGCGGCGGCGGCGGCGCGACGATGCCAAATCCATAGTATCCCACGAACTTCGTTTCGGGGGATACAATTAATGTCATAACTAGAACGGGCAGTTGTCGCCAACTACATGTATCCCCCGTGATCTAGTATGAATGGAATATCTCTGTAAGGACGTAGAAGGCAGTGAAAGTTAAATAAGTCACAAAGACAAAGGTTTGGTTAGACAACTGGTCTGCCTCAGATGTGCAAGTATATGGAATCTGGTTACCCTAGGAGGAATATTTTCACTGTGAACAGTACCCCCCCCCCTACCCCCTCTTCGTTACGATGAGTTTTTGTCGTTAATAATTGGTCCGTAAGGACCTAGAGATGGCAGCAGGTACGATCGAAAATTCCGCAATGGCCGACCTGCGAAGCAAGCGTGAAATGTTGTTGTCGTTGAAATGTTGTTTTATTAACGTGTGCTGACGGAAATATAGGCTAGTGACATAGCTTATCGTCTTCGCACGTTCGAACCCTCCCGGTAAGAGTAAATGGGTAAATTCCTTATGGCGGTTTTCGAGGAGATACGTGAATTTACGCGCGGCCGTTAACAGTAATGGCCATAATCATTTCTGGTGTTTGCTTAGTCCGAGATTCCTCTGACCAATGCCCACACCGACGATTTTGGTGGTTTTGGTGTGGGTTAGGTGGTGTGGGTTAGGTGGTTTTGGTGTGACCTAACCCACACCAAAACCACCAAAATCGTCGGTGTGGGCATTGGTCAGAGGAATCTCGGACTAGTGTTTGCTGTACATCCACCATTTCTCAATAAACACATCACACAGTTCCATGTCATAAAATACTACTAAATACTGTAGACTATACGAGGGATACAAATAAGAGTACGCAGCAAAATGAG